AAATTATTCATTTCCTTTATGCAAAATTTATGAAGATTTACGCTACTGAGCGCAAAAGGTAGGTGTAATGCAACAACAACTCATGCAGTTGACTACCTGGGGGGCTTCAAATATACCGCAAAAATATATGTTCAGACCGGCAAGCCTGGGTTACAAAGCATTCCAGCATTCCAGCTTGGGTTACAAATCTGAAACCGCAGCATCTAGAGTGCTTGTGCACACGGTCCATGGCCATGTTCGGGTAAGTGTATATGAAACAGTTTTTTCGTCCCTTCTCCCTACGTATCGTGCAATTTGGCGCTGACATTTTAACATCGCGGAAAAAACTTGCACAGCAATGCGTTACGGGAGTCTGGTGCGACTGTTAGGTTTGAAGCAGTCAAACTGTCAATGGTACGAATGGTTGTTACTTTACAGTTTAGCATATGCACTCGTACTGGCTGTGTTTTGGTCATTTCTTGCATGCACGGGAAAAAGGCGTTGGCTGGAGTGGTGATAACAAAATACAATATCACTCACTAACCATAATATTTATCAACTTCGTGCGGTCTTCCATATCCGCAAATACATTTTCTTTTGCATGCTGGCGTTTCATAGAGTTTTTTTTTGCATGGCGGATAGCGCGACGAGTTGCCTTGGTGGCGGCACGGCGGAAACGGATACGGCGAACAACCACTTTGCTCCGTATAGTTACTGCCGGTAACAATACCTTCCGTTGCCCAGTATTTCCATGCTTTCCAAGTATATCCACCATTGCAACTAAAACATTGAGATTTTAGTGATTCTGAGACGATTGTGTGATTTTGTGGATATTCGCGGTGAGAAGGACCACTAGCAATATGCAGCAAAATTGCCGGTGCAGTAGTGCGTTTTTTGTGCAACCAGTCGCAAAATTGTTACTTGTTCAAATATGAGATTTACGGAACTTGAAAGATTGATTTCAGGCATGCTTACTTGTATATGACTTGCACATTCAAAGTTTTATTTTCTCTGCTGTCGTATTTTCCAGATT